ATTTCAGAATTGTCCCATTCTAAAGCTTCAACGTCATTACCATTATTATTTCTATGTTGGACACCCCTTGATTTGTTAGAAATGGTACAAACCAGCAGTGATACCGTTGTCAGTAATGCCGATCCAACTAATAGTATTACAGATGTCATGAGCCAGGTTCCTGGTGAAGAAGATGATGATTAGGATAGTGATAAAGAAAGTGTATTGAAGATGATGATGATTAGGATAGTGGTAGGATAGTGATAAAGAGAGCGTATTGAAGATGATGATGATGATGGTGGTGGGTGTATAGATTTAACGTTGAAGAATGACAGTCATTATTTGAGTGGCGATGTTTAATATTTACGATGATGATGATGATATGTATCATTATTATTATCATTATTATTATTGTTATCATCATCATCATTATTATTATTATAATTATTATTATCATCAACGAAACCTGGTGGAAAATATGAATGAGCTTTGATGTTGTTGTTGTTAATTCTTTGCTGTTGTTGTCTATGGTAACTGGGCGACTTCAACAATCGGCCATATTGTTCGCCATCACTACTGTCACCACCATCATCGTCACCACCATCATCGTCACTATCATCATCATCATCACTATCATCATCATCGTGACCGGAGTTTTGACCGGAAGTTTGAAATTTAATGTCAGGCAGATGAGGAGGGTGTTGATGGAGGAGTTCGCCTCTCTTTTCGTTTGATAGTACAACAATCTTTTGGGAAATTATTCGTTTTAATCTATTTCATTCATCACCATCGTTATAATTCTTATTATCTTTAAATTATTGTTATTATTATTATTATTATTATTATTTACTAACGTGAACCCTCTTCCTACTGGTCAGCCATTTTCCTCGCTGGCCCAGACAGCCAATCACGAAGCTTCTAGCAGGTAGCCACGACAACCATTTTTTGTTTGAGTACTTCAGACTTTTCAAGCCTTCGGCCATCGTTGAAACATCTATGGACTCTGTATGGTTTGGATTTAAATTTAAAAAATTATCATTTATTTGTCATTTTATAGCGCTTATTTATTCATTTGTTTCTTTAAATATTCAATGATTTACAACACAAAAATAGTTGAAACGTTTCATTAACCATTGACAGGAGTTAATATGAGGTTTTGATTGGTCAGCCTGATGTGAAGTGGAGGGAGATAATTGGTTGACGGAAGTTTAAACATTTCATACTTTAAATTCATTGGCTGGTTACTCTTCAGTAAACATTTACTGATACGCCATTGGTCGGAAGCTATTGGTTTGTCATGAGAACAAAGTAATTAAAACACGTTAGTACTGTTTATAAAAATTCAAACTATTCTTTCCCTAACAAGTTTTTAATTGGACGTCAGGAAACAGATGGACCCCATCTCTTAATTCTGATTGGTTGGTCAAAACGTAGCGACCTACATTCAGACTTATGATTGGTCTGTTCGCATTGATGATGATGCTAATGTCATCCAATGAGAATTCTCTATTTGAGCACCTGAGAAAATGTTTACAGGTATTATTAAAAATGAGATAATTGAATTCTTAACCATTACCTTAAGAAAATGTTATTATTGTTGTTGTTGTTATTATTATTATTATTCTGATATCTTTATAGTTATCGCCACCATCATTATCATTATCATTGAAAACATCGCGAAAGCTTACTCGACAGTTGTATGCATTACGATGCTTGTTGATGATGATGATGGTTGTGATGATGATGATGATAATGATGACGACGATGATGATGATAATGATGACGACGATGATGATGATAATGATGACGACGATGATGATGATGATGATGTGGCGGGGATATAAACGACTTGCTGGACTAGAGATAACGGAAAAATTGAAAATATTTGAGATGATGATGATGACGACGACGATGATGATGACAAAGATGATGATTTTAATGACGTAATGACCAATCTTCTTCTATCTTCACTCATCATAACGGTCTGCGCAAGATAATTAATTAGTGTAATCATCATCACCACTACCATCATCATCAATATCACCATCATCATCGGATATATCATTATCATGATCATCATCACCATTATTATCATCATCGTCGTCGTCCTTAATAATATGATAAAAGTCATTTTGTTTTGAAGGATGACAGAGCATGAAAGTCTTAAAAATAAGACAACAAATAAAACCATGTATATAGCCACCGTATTCGATTGGTTGAAGTCGAAATACTTTAAACTCAATCTGTCCTGGCATTGGTTGATGCATTTAATGACGTAATCAGACGCGATGTGATTAGTCCTCACGTACAGGCCAGCCAGACCATTGTCAGTGTCCGTGTCGTTTGATTCTATCATTGCAAATTAAGAACGAAATAAAACCATCTTGGTGATCGTCATCATCATCATCATCACGGCAGCTAGTCATCATCATTATCATCATCATCATATATTTACTCATCATGACGTCATCATCATGAATATACGTATACATATATACACACGTACATACCTGACGATAAAAATATGCCAGAGACCATACGATAATAACTTTCATGCTGACGATGACGTTGTTGTTGTTGATGATGATGATGATGAAGATGGTTATGATGATGGTGTTGTTGTTGGTAATGATGATGATGGGAATCATCATCATTACCGACAACTCGGTGTCCGTCAACATAAATTGAAACCTTGCAAGGGCAAACAAGAAAGAGGTTATCAACATCAACCAACCTTCATCATCATCATCGTCAACCAATCATCATCATCATCAACCAATCATCATCATCATCAACCAATCATCATCATCATCTTTACTATAACCATCATAACCAGTACTACTAACGTAGCTATTATATTTGGTGATGACGTAATGATGCCAGTTTAGATCATCACATAACTCTTTCAGATTCCAACTCCGCTTTTCATCATCATCGTCATCATCACCACTATCGTCATCATCACCACCATCGTCATCATCATCGTCATCATTAGAGTAAGGTTTCATATGAAAGTGCATCGTACAGCCTTTAACGAACCATTTTAAAACGTGATGGTGATGATAAAGACGACGATGATGAAGATGACGAATAAGATGATGAGGGGGAGAAGGAGAGAGTATGGCTGCTGATTTATCTGAAAATGAATGAGAAAAAAGTTTCCATTGTGAACAAAATTTATCAACTGCCATCTATCATCAATATACACTTATATATAATATATATATATATATTATATATATATATATACCTATACAAACATACATACGTGTGTTTATATATATATATATATATATATATATATATATATTTGTGTGTATGTTCATATGTATACTACATATCATGACTTTATTTCAATTATTGTGTGACAAAATAATTACATGACATGGACGCCCTTACTCAAAGAACGGGCTTGCCATATAACAAATCTCCGACTAGGGCCTGATTCGTAATGCCGTTGACCTTTGAACCAGACAGCCGTTGTAAAGTGATTCCAATCTAATTTTATCTCACTGGTAATTCCAGAACCGCTGAAGATAGTTTCGTTTTCGATGAGAAAGGTTGTTTCGTCGTGTTCTCGCAGCACTTGTACGCTGCTGCTGCTACTACTACTGCTATTGCTACTACTACTGCTACTACTGCTGCTACTGCTGCTGCTACTACTACTACTGCTACTACACAACAGAAATTGTTTCAATATGGAGGTAATATCGTGTTCACATACTACACGTTTATTTGCTTTGTTGTTGTTGTTGCTATTGTTATATTTATGGCTAATGTTGCTAGTGTTGTTGTTATTGTAAGTATTCGTATCTTCTGTACCGGTATCAATGTCATAGATACCATCATCATCATCATCATTTTCATTTTGTATGCTAATATCAACGGATACTCTCTTTATATCGCATGAGCCATCAACGTAATTGTTGTTATTATTATGGTAATCATTATTATAATTATTATTGTAATTAGTATTCATATTATTCATATTATTCATATTATTATGATTTGTGATTAAATCTCCGCTGCCCTTTATCACGCTTTTTAACTGCAAATTTCTGAATATTTGAATCTCTTTCCTATGATTATTATTATTATTAGTAGTAGTAGTAAAAGCAGTAGCAGCAGCAGTAGTAGTAGCCGCAGCAGTAGTAGCAGTAGTAGTATCGCCACCGTCATCATCATAATCATCACCTTTTTTGCCACCACTGTCACCGTGTCCAGCTCTATAATGGTTATCAACATCGGCTCTTCTGTCAATGCCATCATCATCGTCGTCATCATTATCATCATCATTCGTGACGTCATCATCATCATCATCATTATTATTATTATTATTATTATTATTAACATTATTATTATTATTATTATTATTATTATTATTATTATTATTATTATTATTATTATTATTATCATCATCATAATTTTCGTCACTCAATGATATCTCGTCCCTATATCCATCCCACAGGTACGCAGATGGAAGGATGCTGATGTGGAGGTGCATTGATTTTGAGAGCAGTCCACCGGAGTCTGACGCGTATATCTTTAATATAACCTCGTTATCATTATTATTGTTGTTGTTTTTATTATTGTTGTTGTTATTATTATTATTGTTGTTGTTGTTATTATTATTATTGTTATCGTCATCATCGTGGTCGTCTTCATCGTCGTCGTGTAGATGGTTAAATGAGCTGTGTTGTTGTCTGATGAAAACGCAGCCTGCATAATAATAATAACGCTTATTAATAATAATAATAAACATAATAATAATAATAATAATAATATCTTTATCATCATCATCACAATCATCATCATTATCTGCAGTAGGACCTTGCTTATCAATGCTGAAATATCTTTTATAATTAATCAGTATGTAGTTGGCGATTGTTGAATGCTCCAGTGTGCCGTCATCATCAACTGCCTTCAAGCACGTCACTACCATACCATCATCAATACTGTCGCTATTATTATTACTATTATTGATATTATTATTATTGTTATTATTATTATTATGGTTATTTTGCTGATGGAGAGTATTAAACATTGCGCCTGAAATGTTAATGTAGACATTATTATTATTATTAATGATGTTACTATTATTACTATTATTATTATTAATCTCGTTACTAGTATTATTGTTATTATTATTGTTTTTATTACTATCATTGTTGTTGTTGAAGGTGTTGTTGTATGAGACCCATCTCGGTGCATTATCGTTATAGTCTTCAATGTGAATAATGACCATTTCTCTGGGTCAAAAAAAAAATTAATTATTCAATATGCTAATTAGATTATGTTAATTTATGCAAATTAGTTTAAGCCGATTTTTGAAAAGTTATTTAAGCTAGTTTATGTTAATTTATGTTAATGAGTTATGCCATCAGCAGAGCGTCATTACCTTTCAGCATAAAATGAATGTATTTGAGTATTATTAGAAGATATCTTTGAAAAAATCATCTCATCATCATCATCACCATCATTGCTCTCGTCATCATTATCAAGATTTTTCGACAGGATGAATGATTTTTTTACACTATTTTTATTTTCGACAATGTTGTTGGAGATGGTGGTGATGTGACGGTCACCGTAACCGTTCTCACCGCTCACATTAAAGTTGCTTTCATCATTAATATTATTATTGTTATTGCTATTATCGTTGTTATTGTTATTATTATTGTTGTTGTTTTTGTTGTTGATTTTATTATTGTTGTTGTTGTTGTTGCATCCGTGGCCAGCGATCTCGAACTGGAACACCTTCTGTTTCTCATAGTCCAGATTGCCATTTACAATGATGGCTGCACTCCCTGTATATTATTATTATTATTTATTATTATTATGTTATTATTATTAATTATTATTATTATTATTGTCGTTGTTGTTATTATTAATTATTAATGTCATTGTGTTATTATTCATATTAATATACAGTTGTTGTTATCTGATAATGTTCCACATATAATTGCAAATAAAAATAAAATTATTTTATAATAATAATGCTTTTATGTTTGTGTGTGCATGCACATGTGTGTATAATGCAGTTATATACCCGTGGTTGGTTCTATTATTTGAACTTTGAAGGGGTGTCCAAGTTGACATTTGTAGAGTGTGTAGCCACAAATCTCATCTGTGTATGTAGGTTGCATTTGAACTTTTGAAGCGATTAATAATTAATTCTAACATGAATTATTAAACACATTAATAAATATTTATTTGATATTTAAAAATATATTTAATTATTTACCATCACTTATTTGATATCTTTTTCTAACATAAAGGGGTATGTCAAGATCTACAATTGTCCCTAATGGTACATTTTCCCGAACTCTTCCATGATAAGTTAGCATGCTGCCTAAACTAGATGCTGAATGAAATTACATTACGATTACATTATTATTTAATATTAATTATTAAAAAAATAGTTATTATTTTTTAAATTATTTCAACTAGGTTCAACAAATGAGTGATTAATCGCTAACCTGATAAAAAATGTGTTATAAAAATTAATCTCAAAAGTGTCATTTTAAATATTTCACTAACATTTAAAATATAAATACTATTTTCGATAAAGAATTTAATTAAATTTCATGTATTTATAAGCAACTAAAAGCTAACTGAAGTTTGAATCATAGCATTTTAAATAGGGATGTACGAGTCTAAGAAAAAAACCTTGATGAAATAGTAGTGAATATTCTTGCTTAATTTTATGACATATCATATTAGATAATATCTGGACAAATAATTTAATTAAATAAATTTTAAATGGTTGAAATATCTAAGTAAATGATTGATATTTCAACAAAAATCACTGCTAGAAACAAAATTCCTTCATCCGTGTGCAATCTATCCATTCATTCAATCATGCACCCATCCATTTGCATTTATCTACCCGTCATTCATTCACTCGTTCATTCATTCATTCATCCGTTCATTCATTCATTCATCCATTCATTCATTCACTCATCCTTGTGCCATATCGTCAATAAATTGACCGAAATAGTGCTAAATAGTGGCAGTTGTGAATTGTACCCCCTCGTCATCACCACCACCATCATCATCATCATCAACATCACCACCACTACGACCACCATCATCATTATCACCATTTTAAGTATCATCGTCATCTCGTCATCGTCAAACGCCAATGACAAATGCATGTAATCCGTATTATATAATATTTGCCTTGTAACACTTATGGCATATATATATATATATATATATATATATATATATATATATATATATATATATATATATATATATATATATAGAATTCATAATGTTATTGTATTTTTTACAGTTTGTGTAATTTCAATGTTTAAAGCGTAACTGTATGATCTTTCATCGTAGAAATGGAAAATTATAGGTGCTAAATAAATAATGTACAATATAGAAGTATATATTACATATTTAGTATATATATAATATATATGGTATATTATGTATATATATAATATATATGATATGTTATGTATATATACATGTATAGTATATATATATATATATATATATATATATATATATATATAATGTTCCTACATAGTATTTATATGTATATTTTGTGTTTTAAAATTTCTAGATAACAAGGAACTTTATATTGTTGTAATTTGCGTAGGATGTAATTAAAATAATAAGAATAACAATAATAATAGTGATGATGATGAAGATGACGATGATGATGAAGAAGATGAGGAAGATGCAAATGTTGATGAAGCGAATGTGATAACAAAGTTAACACATGATGATTACAATTGCTTATTTTAATATGGATATTTACTTGTATTTCTTATGAGTTATGGTGAATAAAACATAGAAAAAAAATGATTAATAACAAGGTCAACGACATCAACAACATCAACCACAATAAAAACCTCCACAACAACAACAACAACATCAGCAGCAACATCATCAACAACAACAACAATAAAAGCAACAACAACAACATCAACAGCAACATCAACAACAACAATTCAACGTTCGGCAATTTACTAATGGACGACGTTAAAGATTTGAACCTCAGTCTGAAGCAACTTGAAGAAACGATAAAGAAGCAACTTTCGAAGCACAGCCTCAACAACAGCTTCAACAGCAACAACAACGACAATCATATCAGTAACAACAACAACGACAACCTCAGTATCAACGACAACAACAACAACAGCAGCAAGCAAAATGACCACGTTGGGATCAATCAAATTAATTTGGGTTTGTTGTCTTTACGAGTTTTTTCTTCTTCTTCTTACAACAACACCAATAATATCAACAACATTACAACAACACCATCAACAACATCAGTTACATCAAAAGAAAACTAACCTTGAGAAGTCGTCAGGGTTGTTAATATCGATACGATTTTATAATTGCAATTCTTATTCAGTGTTGGCATTTGATTCCATTCTTTCATTAGTCTTTTCTACTCTATTCGTTCGTTCGTTCGTTCGTTCATTTATTTATTCATTCTTTCATTCATTCATTCCCAGCTGTTATGACGAGTAGAAAACCGCAGCAGATGAGTTTGGATGGAGGAGGTATTGATGCAGATGTGACGAGTCCTACCAGATCTGATAAGGTTCAGATGAATGAATGAATGAACGAACGAACGAACGAACGAAAGAAAGAATGAATGAACGAACGAACAAACAAATGAATGAATAAATGAACGAGTATCAAACAAATGAATGAGTGAATGAATGAATGAACCAACCAACCAATCAACAACTAGGTGGTCGTGCAAGTACGGATCGTCATATTAAAAGTTGGCGATATAGACACGCTGAGGGATAAGTTCGCTGGCGACGCGTTCATCCAGGCAAAATGGCGGGAACCTATGCTGGATGGAAAGTTCAAAACGGTTCTTATTTTCTTTTTTTTTTCATTTAAAATTTTTAATCAAGTTTCTATATTCTTTCTCTTATTTTTCTCTCTCAAACTCTTTAACTCTTTCTCTCTCTCTCAATCTCTCTCTCTTTCTCAATCTCTCTCCCTCTCTTTCTCAAGCTCTCTCTCTCTCTCTCTCTCTCTCTCTCTCTCTCTCTCTCTCTCTCTATCTCTCTCTCTCTCTTTATACATTGATTGCATATATTTTACGTAACACGGCAGCACTGCGACCAAGTAAATTGGAATCACTACTGGAGTCCGAAGCTTTCCATTGAAAATTCCTTCGGAGAACCTGAGGAAAACGTTTGGAAGACCATCATATTTGACGGGGCCGGTGAATAATTTGTATAAATTAGCATAAATTATGATAAATTAATATATCGTTAGAGCATATTAGCGTGAATTAATTAATTTTTTATGCGAATTTTGAAGGCCAGGCTACAGTTTGTGAGAAGAGGAGGATTTCTGGGACGTTCTTTGAATTCATGGAACTCAATCAATTCCCATTCGATTCACAGGTTGTGATGATGATGACGATGATGGTGATGATGACGATGATGATGATGACGATGATGACGACGATGATGACGACGATGATGATGAAAGTAATATTACTAGTAGCGATTGCATGATACATATGTGATATATATACATATTTTTATATTCTTTTCTTTCTCTCTCTTTCTCTTTTTCTCTCTCTCTCCCTCTTTATCTCTCTCTCTCTATATATATGTATATGTATATATATATATGTATATATATTTATATTTATATATAGGTTTCTATACTATTTATAGAAGATTATCGATCATTCCAAAGTGTAGCGATTTTATTGTTCAATATTGCGGACCCAATCAATTAAGCGCCACAATATTTGTTGGCTGGTACCCATGGAAACGTCTATTTGAGCGCCAAACATTCAAGTGCATTTCCGCAGAGCTTTATGTTTTGGATTCTTTGTGTGAGTGTGCGTGTGTGTATGTGTGTTGATGATCATACATTACATTCATCCATCCAACAATCCGTTCATTCATACATCCATTCATTATTCATCCATTCATTATTCATTCATTCATTATTCATTCATTCATTCATTATTCATTCATTCGTTCATTCATTCGTTCATTCATTCATTCGTTCGTTCGTTCGTTTGTTCGTTCATTCATTCATTCATTCATTCGTTTGTTCGTTCATTCATTCATTTTCTAACCATCGATTCATTCATCAGTCATGTTAGCGTCACGTAACAACAGCAGAAATAATAATAATGACGTCATCATTAACAAGAGTGACGGAAAAAATAACAACAACGACAACAATAACAACAACATCAACGACGTCATCATCGCCAGCACTTCCGTTAAAACTTAATGCTTCGCGACGCATGCGCAAACAACAACAAAGACAACATAGGAAAAAAAAACTTCAAATAGAAGACCGATAACAAAGACATGAAAACTTTTTCTCATTCTAAGAAACTAAATGCATTTAAAAACCGACACACACACACATACAGTCACATCCAACCATCCATCCAAACAAACAAACACCAAGCGTACAAGAACTCGCACGTACACACACACACACACAAACACAGACCCAAAAAACGAGGCAATAATATAACATATCATAAATGATATCTAATATATTAATACTTACACTGTGATACAATGTTCAAACTGCAAAACATACATACATACATACATACATACATACATACATACATACATACATACATACATACATACATACATACATACATACATACATACATACAAACAAACAAACAAACAAACATACATACATACATACCAACATGCGTACAAATTCATACAGCGTGTAATTTATTTTATTGTTGCGATGCGACAATCATTCGACGCGCTTTTGAGACTTTGTTCAGACGAAACGGTAAATACAAAATTCAGTGTACAAATATGCATATGTATGTATGTATGTATGTATGTATGTATGTATGTATGTATGTATGTATGTATGTATGTATGTATGTATGTATGTATGTATGTATGTAGTATGTATGTATGTACGTTTATACGTATGCTTCCTTGTATGCACGTTTGTGTGAATGAATGTTTGTATATGAATGTATGGATGTACCCATGTGCAGTATGCGCAACCGACACGCCATAATTTTTACATGGAATTTAAGCTTGAGATGAATGAACGAATGCATACATAAATGGATGTATTAATGGATGCACGAACGAGAGAACGAACATAGAAACAAATAAATGAATGAGCAAACGAACGAACAAAAATGGATGAATGGAAACGACAGCCCGCTTTTATACAATGTTCGCATTTGAAAGATTACGTTGGCCCCCATCAATACGAATGTTTACATTCATTCATAACGCCACTTAAGCGCAGTCGAACTCACACACACGCACACGTACACACACTCGTACACATACACATTCACACACACACGCACGCACACACACATGCAGATGTTGTCGATAAGCCTAACGACAGAACGCAGTGATGATGAAGTCGAGTTCGTTGAAGACTGCCATGAAAAGAGCGTTCTTATCACGAACTCATTCACCGATGAACAAGAATGGCGGTTGAATAAAGGTTGATATTGTTTTTGTTGTTGCTGATGTTGTTGTTGTTGCTAATGCATTTGTTGATGTTATCAAGGGTATTTGTTGATGTTGCTTTGTTGCTATAAATGTTTTGCTTGTTGGTTGTGTTGCGTATACTGTTATTATTGTTTTCTTGCTCTAACATTGTTTTTAGTTCTGATCTTGACGCTGTTGTTATGACGAAAAATAATAACTGTGACGTCAGAAACCACGTGATCCATCAATTAGCCTCAATTACCGAATTCCGATGCATGAAACACGTGTCCGCTTTTGCATGCTTGATTTCATTTTTGTCACCTCTACCTCTATCATCATCATCGCCATTATCATCATCATAATCGCCATCATGACCATCATCGCCATCATCATCATCATAATCGCCACCATCACCATCATCGTCCTCATCATGACCATCACGAAGGAGTAAACACGTGGACGAAGTTTCGAGATGAGGCTTTCAAGAGCGACAACAACAAGCACCCATCCTTTTCGGTTGCTGCCACTGTAACCAGGAGACCACAATTTTTCATCTGGAACATTCTCGTCGTCATGGTTGAGTTCTTTTCTTCATCGTTTAGTTTTTATTTCCAGTTTAAATGGAGAAAGTTAGTTGAAATGAGTAAATTCGATCGTTCATTCGTTAAATTACTCGATCGATTAACCGTACTTATTCGTTTGTTACTTCATTCATCCATTCATCCATTCGTTCGTTTATTTATTCATTCATTCCTTCATTCATTCATTTACTCATTCACTTACTCATTCACTCCTTCATTCATTCATCCAGTTCTTGATATGCAGTCTTTCCTTCTCGACTTTCTCGGTGAGTTTGGACGCTCCACACACGAGGTTGCAGCTGACGTTCATCCTGCTGCTAACAACTGTCTCCTTCAAATTTGTCGTCAATCAAAATCTACCAATGATATCCTATCTTACCTACTTGGTGAGTTGTGATTGGTGGGCTGGTTAGTCCATTGTGACTGGCTGGTTGGTTGATTGTGATTGGTTGATTTTTTGATTAGTTGATTATGATTGGCTGGTTAGTTGATTGTGATTGGCTGGTTGGTTGGTTATAGTCTGATTGGTTGGTTGATTGTGACTGGTTGATTAGTCAATTGTGATTGGCTGGTTAGTTGATTGTGATTGGCTGGTTGGCATTTAAAACTACCAATAATAGTTCATCAAACTTATTCGATTAATAAAAATTTGTTAAATTATCGCTAGGACAAGTACATATTAGGATCGATGACTATTTTAGCGGCTATTTGCGTATGGCACGCCATCGTCGGAAAGTTGGCGCCAAACGTCATTTCTTGTTCGGACGTGAAGATGGTTGATTTCTGGATGCTCGGTATTTTGGGTGCCATTTATATCGGGTTCCACTTGATATTCGTCATCATCGTTTCTTGCAAGGTGTGTGTGTGTGTGTGTGGGTGGGTGTGTTTGTGTGTGTGTGTGTTTGTGTGTGTGTGTAATTTGTGGTGGGATTTCGTTTGAAATGTTGAAATGTGAATTAAATTGGGAAAAAATATTTATTGAGTTAATATGTAAGAAGTTTTATAAAGAATTGAAATGGTGAAAAATTTCATTTCGCAGGCCAGTGAAAAGAACAACAAAGAAGAAATAATCAACGATCAGGACTTCGTACAAGATCAAGTCTACAAATTTATTTCTTTAAAATAAAAATAATTGAAAATAATTAAACTTGTAAAATATCAAACATTAAAATAAAATTGAACAAAATTAAATAAAAAAAAACAGGAAGATGACTTTTCTGACGAACCGACCATTTCAACGATGAGTGAAAAACGCAAACCCCTGCATAAGAATGACCCCAGGGGTAACAGAAGGGTGTCCGAGGTTGACCAGGTCACCACCCATAACGCCCTAACTTCCTGGCAGTGAGAACAAAAATATCGTCAAATGTCTGTTTTAATGATAGTTTATTAATTATTAGGGATAAGTTAATGAATTTCGATGGATTAGTCACTGAGATATAACGAATAATGGTATCAGTTTTCGTCATTTGGTAATTTGTTTTGTTAGAAATTCTTTTTTCTTTCGATTTTGCACTACTGATTAGACTTTTTAAAATACATTTTAAGTGTTTTATCTCAATTTTATACGATGAAGCAATCAATATTACATTTTTATTTTATAGAAAATGGACATCGGTTTGAGAATATTTGTAAATAATTGTTTAAAAATGACAATTTTTGATTGAATTTTTGAAATGTTTAAACTCATTTAACAATATTCATTATACAATAAAACTTATTTATAGCATTTTATGTGTATTAAACAGCTAAAACTATTTTTAAATCAGTTAAACGGACTAATTTGTAACTACAAAAATACTCGAATAAATCGATGCTCATCTAATTTGCTAATTAAATCGAACATTTCCATTTTATAATTGAAATTCAATTTTATAAATTTAAAGATGAATGAGTTGGAGATCGAGTATTTCTCATCGATTAATAATTTATCAAAATGCTTCGTTAATGAAATTGTTAATTTAAAAAAAGAACATTTAAACGATTGGGATGATTTAGATGTTGAAAAACGTGAAGATTTAATTAATAAACTTTATTTCGGTGTCCACTTTAACAAGAAAAAAAGCGACAATGACGAGGAAGATGGCGACGATGATTTTGCTACGGTACAAGAAAACTTATTTATAAGCGATATTCCGTCATTTTTCAAGATCGAATCCGGGGAGAAAGTGGTGGTTGATTTAGAACAAGATGATTCTGTGAGTTTATACATTTGAATTGTAACAGTAAATATTAAATATTTATGACTTTTTATTATGAATCAGGGTTGGACATGGAAAGATGAACATTCAGGACCCTTTTCATGGAGAACCAAGGCCTGCTTCACATTTGTTCATCTAATTAGTATATTGCTATGTTCCTATCTTTCTCTCTTTGTTTCTTTCATTTTGTCTCTCTGTAATATCGTTTTGTTTTTACTCTTAATTAAATTTTTAATTTTTTCATAAATTCATTTTAAAATGAGTTTTCAATTTATTACATCTAAAATTAAAATTTTTTTTCAAATTTGTTCGTTTTAGAGCCAGCAAGATTTAACAGTAGCAGGACTATTCATTGAAACAAAACCAAAAGATCTGATCACAAAAACTACCTCAAACAAAAATAGATTGCCAAGTTTTGACAAGTCAAGCAACAACAAGTCTAACAATCTAAATAATAACAATAATAATAATAATTATAATAATATATGCTCCAAAGCCAATAAAAGTAACTCAAAAAATGAAGTAGAAGAAATGTTTGAAAGGTTTGGCTTGAAGAAATCATCCCTGGATGAAAATGGTCATGGTGAAGTTTTAGCTAAAAAGAAACAGGAGAATAGCACTATCAGTTTCAAGCCTGGTGTTGAATTAGGCAGGAGCCCGCCATCTTCTGATAAAATGCAAAATAATAAGTTGAGTGGGAAATTGAAATTTGAAACAGGAATTAGTGCAGTTTCAAAAGTTAATTTAGGATTCTGTGCTTCAGATAGTGATTTTGGTAAAACAAAAAACTATGATATTGATGATAATGTAGATATTGATGGTACTAATTTACATATTAAAAATAAAAAATGTGAAGATGGCACCGCTAACAAAATTTTTCTCAGTGACGAATTTGGTGAAACAAGCACCGATGATAAAGCTTTTGGAAATGTCGAATATGATACTAATCTGACAGACTTCAATGAAAATAATAATGATGTCATAACCAAGCAGCCAATCAAACAACAGGATACACCTCTTGTGAAGACTGGGTTTGATTTTCTTGACAACTGGTGATATGATGATTGACAGAAAAATCATTGGAGGGATTAACAGATAGATAAGTAGATAGAGATTGATAGTAAGAAGTAAAGACACTAGATAATGATAAAATAATAAATAAATGTATATAGCCATATTGTGTTTAATTGTTTTCTAGCAATAATTCCCATCTTCTGCTACTTTAAAACATTTCCATTTCAATTTTGAATCATATTTTTTATGAACTAACAAGCTGGCGAATTAGTCACTTATATTTTTACAGCATTTTATTTGATTTAAAACTTTTTTTTTCATCAACCATCATTGCATTCATCATAGCTGTTCTCGTTGCCCATTTCATCATCATCAGCAACATCATCGTCGTTTTCACAATCATCATAGCTGTCTTGGCTATCGTCCCCATCAACTAACTGATTAACTTTGGTTCAATCAAGCTGTCCCAAGACAGGTGCACCTGTGTGATTGTTGAGTTTAAATCAATCAAATCAATCAATTAACCAATCAATCAATTAACCAATCAATCAAGTTAAATGATTTATTTATTTAATATATTATTTATATGCGCATACGCATCAATGTTTATCAACGTTATTAATGACTATACAGTGAAATTTCTAATCAAAATTTTATTGGTTTTCTTGGTAAAATTTATATACAAATTCACAAACACGCACCGTATATGTATATATATATATATATATTTTATATATATATATATATATATATATATATACACACACATATAGAGAGAAAGAGAATGAGGGAAAGAGAGAGAGAGATAGAGAGAGATCTTACTCACAATATCGTTGTTTGTCATGTTTGTCAGTATGACTTCATCATCTTCAATAGTTAAATCAAATTTGCCTTGTCCTGTTGTTGTTGGTGATGATGGTATTGCCGCTACTACTACTACTACTAATGCTACTGCTTTAGCTAATATTAACATAGCTGACAATGATGTGAATGGATGAATGTATTTATGAATGAACAAATAAGGATATGAATGAATGAATGAACGAGGATACGAATGCATGAATGAATTAATGAATAAAAGAACGTTAAAATGAACGACAACAAACCAGTCCTCTTCTCTTTATACAGCAGCTGCAGTTGCAAGGATTTTGTCATTGCACAGTAGCTCAGAAGTTTTGCTTGCTGTTAAATACGACATCCGTATCATCATCGTCCATAACATCATTATCATTAAGAACATCATCATCATCATTAAGAACATCATCATCGTCGTCGTCACCAACTAACCTTATAGTCAGATATTGTGGGACAGTAATCTGAAGACATTTCGAGTACCTGTGTAATGTTAAATAATCATTATCATCATCATTATTATCATGGTAATCAACATTGCGATAACCATTACCATGACCATTGTTCAATTATTAAAAACGTGAAAAACCATAGTCAACATTATCACCAAGAATATCTAAATCATCATCACCATAACCATCGCTAACATCATCATCAACAACAACATCATCATCATCGACAACAACATCATCAGCAGCACCAACGACATCATCATCGTCGTCGTCACCTTATAAGCAATGGTTTTTCCTACTTCAGGGACAACTTTTAAGGATGGTAGAGACGAAAAATCAATGGCTGCCACTTTGTCATCTTCACACTCGTCATTATTATTATTATTATTATTGTCATTATTATTACTATTATTATTGTTGTTATTGTTATCGTTATTATTATTATTATCATTGTTATTTTTGGTATCAGCAGTTGTATATCTCCTGAACACTTGGAGTCTTCTTTGTGTCTGTTTAACATTTTTGTTACTCCTGTTACCATACTTGTTGTTATTCTTGTTATTCTTATCACGATGATGACTGCTGTTATGCTTGCTATTGCTATATCCGTAGTCGTTGTTAGCGTCAGGATTGTTAACTTTAATGTCGTCGTAATTGCTGTGATGATTAAGATTGTTGTCAGTATGATTGATGTAGTTGTTGTTAGTACTATTATTATTGTTGTTATTATTATTATAGTTAATGTTGTTGTCATCATCGTTATAAATAGCAACTTTATTAATGTCTTTATTGAGAATGGTGCCAGAACATGATGCACTGCCATTCTTGTTATGATTATCACTACCATTACCACTACTACTACTACTAATATCATAACTATTATTATTCTTTTTTTTAATTTGGTGATCGTTATCATCGTCATCATCATCGTCACCAAAAACTATATGTTTTCTTTTAAAATTGTTATGAATATCACCGAATTTATATATAGATTTTTGGCTGAATCCATTTTTACTCTGGAGATTGTTATTGATGTTGTGGTTGTTATTGTTGTTAACACATATGTTGTTATTGATATTGCTATCTTTGCTAATATTATTATTATTAATGTTGTTATCATTATTATTATTACTATTATTGTCGTCAGTCTCCATACGTTTAATTTGATTGGTTGATATTTTGGCTTCATCCGCTTGCAATTTTCTCTTTCTTCTTCGTTTTCTTTTCTTTCTATTTATCTCACCATTATTACCATTATTGTAATTATCATCCTTATTATTATCATTATTATTATTGTTGTTGTTATCATTATCATCATCATCAATACCATTACAATCATCATCATCATCATCAAGATGATCTTTTACATTACAGGCTACAGTAGTATTAGTTAGGGTATTATTATTACTATTATTATCAGTAGTAGTAGTAGTAGCAGTAACAGTAGGAGCAGAGGTAATAGTAGTATCATCATCGCCATCATCATAGTCAACTAAAGTTGATATTTGATCTGTGGCTGCTTTGTTTTTTTGATGTTTCTTTTCTAAAAATTATAAATAAATTTATTTATAATTACAATTATAACATAAATAATATTAATAGTAACTTTTAGTAGTTAATTTATCTTCTTGATTTTTATGCTGCAATGAAGAGATGTTAGAGCTTGTTACTCCTTCTACTTTATGCATTCTGATGAAATATTAAGATTAATTATCATTAAATATTTTGTAAAAATTGTAAAAAAATAGATTACTTCAATTAGATTAGATGTTTAATTAAAATTAATTATTATTAATACAATAGGAATAATTAAACATTAATTAAATGATAGTTTTTAAAAGTAGATCACTTTAATAATTAATTAAATTATTAATACAATAAAATTATAAAATCAAAGAAGAATGAGGATAAAATCAGAATCAAATGTAAATCAGCTGTACCAATCAATTTGAGTTTCAGTTTATTATTCATAACAGATTCAATTGGAATTAATTGAGTGAGATTCATTACTTACGTGATGCACTCGTCATCCCTAAGTATATTTATTGTTTCGGCAGTAGGCAAGAAACTGTCCCCAAGTTGCAAGTAATGAACGGAATTGGGGGAAAGTTCGTATCTTTTTGTAATTTGTCTGATCAGGTCTGATATGGTCGAAACTTTTTTTACGTCAACGTAATGCCATATTTTAGTCAGCGGTTCTCCGGAACCATTTAAAATATTCACGAAATGTATTCGAATACGGAAATTCTGCGACATGATTTTTATTTAATTTTTTACGTATTTTTTTAAATCTTGTTAACAGGCGGGCGATATTTAGATAATCATTTGCATTCTAAGCATAGATAAAACAAATGCAAAATGTTACTAGGGTTGAGATAAAAGTAGTTTTAGGCATAAAATATGAGAAATAAAATAGCTATTATAATTGTTTTTATCATTTTTTATATATTCTAGTTTTTATTTTAATTTACTATTTTTAATAATTAAATTAACTTTAAAACTTTTAAACGCCTCTCGAATATGTCAACAGTTGAAAACATTTTCTTGTGACCAATTTCGCCCCTCTAAAGTCTCATTTAAATAATATAATAAATTAATAAAATAAGTAAATTATAATAAATAAATAAATACTAAAAAATGATGGCGAGTATTTTTGTCATATGTTCCAATTTAATTAATTTTTCAGTAAAATAAAATCTTATTTAAATCTAAATCTTAAAAAGTTAGAATCAGGGAAATGAAATAGAGGAGAATTATTTAATTAAATTTTAAATTTCTTTATTATTATTTTCTGGTTTTTTAGACTAAATTACATAATCTCTAATTTAATTTGCAGAATGTTGAAAAATTTAATTTATGTAATTTTAAATCTATTTTTTTTAATAATTAATTTAATTTTGTTAACAATTTAAAACTCACAAAATTAATTAAAAATGAACAGGAAGATGTAGGAAACAACCCCCTCCAAGAAAGTCAGGACACTGTGGGTTTTTTTTTCCATAAAAACATTAACTTTTAACCTCTTTTAACTGAGTTTTATACTCAATGATTGTTAATAATAATGTTTGTTTAGTAATTAAATTAGTTCACCACTCTGATTTGATTAATGAATTATTTATCCTTAATTTTATTTAATTAGTGTTAATCAAATAATAAATAAAGATAATTTTTCCTAACTAGTCCCCAGAGATTGTGGACTTGAATAGTGAGACTGCTTCACTTACTGTTGACATATCAGATGCTCTTAGTGAAAAAGATACTGTGAAGTTTACAGTACATACTAAGGTATCTGGATATATGTGTATTTAGGAGGGAGGGTATATATGTATCTATTAATATGTCCAGTATTTATGTATATAAATATGTGTGTGTTTAGATTTGGGATGATATTATATAAACACTTATGACCTGGTGTATGTTTATGTAAATATACTTTTTGGGTTTTACAAAATCTTAAATAGAGATAATTTTTTTCCTTTTTTCAGACTACGCTTCCTGAATTTAGCAGTCCTGAAATATCAGTTGTTCGTCATCATGATGAGTTTGTTTGGTTGCATGATGCTCTCGAGGCTAATGAAGATTATGCTGGTATTGTGGTATGTATGTGTGTGTTCTTGTGTGTGTATGGGTATGTGGGTTTGTATGTGTGTGTGTATGTATCTGAATCTAAGAACTTTGTAGAACTTTGTAGAGCAAAATGTAAATAAATGAAAATAAATTTTATGTGTCTGTGTTTGTATGTGTCTATATATGTTTGTATGTTAGTTTGTTTGTGTCTATTTTTGTGTGTATGTGTCTATTTTTGTGTGTATGTTTCTATATTTGCATATCTCTTTGTTGGAATGTGGTTCTTTTATAGCTTCAAGGATGGTTAAGGTGCGGTTATAGTTTTGCATGGTTGCTTGTTTATCACTGGCTGGCTGCTATCATTTTTATTCTCTCACATCATCGTTATCTTCATCACGCTCATTATCTTCATCACGTTCCTCATCGTCGTCGTCGTCGTCGTCACTGAAGATTCCACCAGTGCCACCGAGGCCTGACTTTGATGCATCGAGGGAGAAGTTGCAGACCTTAGGAGACCTCGACAAGCGCATTCCACATGACGAATTCCAGAAGATGAAGCAGGAATTAGAAGCGTTAGTAACTATTCATCAGTGCTGATTTACTAATTCAGTATTCAGTAATCGATAATTGTTAAGTAATTGGGATGAGTAATGTTAATAAAAGTGATGATGATAAGGATGATGATTATGACACTCACACACACACACACGCGCACGCACGCACGCACACACGCAGTGAATATTTGGCCACATTTAAGAAGACAGTAGCTATGCATGAAGTCTTCTTGCAAAGGTTGGCAAGCCATTCTTACCTCAGGTCTGATGTCAATTTCAAAGTTTTCCTTGAGTACCAATCCGAGGTGGACCCCCTTCCCTTTTTATTCATTTATTGACGATTGGATGGATGGATTGATAGATGGATGGATTGATTTATGGTTAAATAGATGGATAATTTCTGAATGAATAGATGAATGTTGAATGAATTAATGAAAGAATGAATAAGAGATAGTTTGATGTTTTTTTATATTTAAAATGTTTGTAAATAAATTTATGAACAAAATTTTTGTGTTCATTCATTTTTTATTAAAATTTCTCTGAAATTTTCGTATGTTATAATCACAGCTATTTTAATAATAAATAATGCCAGCTGAACGTCAGAGGCAAGAACAATCGAGAGAAGATCTCCGGATTTTTGAAGAGCGTCAGTCAGTCGGCTGATGAGATGTTGCTGTCGAACCAGAAAGATACTGATGAATATTTTGAGGGACAGAGGGCCTTCCTCGTTGAGTATTTCAATCGTATCAAGGATTGCGCCAATAAGGCAGACAAGATGACTAGAAGCCATAAAAGTTTGCATTGTTTGGTGACTTTTTTCTAGGTGGGTGCTTCGTCATTCGCTGGTTTTCGTTATTGGCGATAGGATATTTGAGTATTATAATGTAAACAACTTTGGTGGTTGGTTGGTTTTTTTTGTTTCAATCTTTAGTTGTTATTTTAATGGTATTTGTTTCAGATGTTGCCGACAGTTACATCAAGATATCGACAAATCTTGTTCAGCTGGCTGCCATTGATAATCAAGATTTGGAAAAGTAATATTTCAGTTGTCGTTGTTTTTGATGATCTGGTTATTAATTTATTGATTAGTCATTAATGTGTCGCTTAGTTAATTGATGAATTAATTAATTAGTTTTGATGTTTTTTTCAATTAGGTTGTTGAACAAAATAGCTGAAACTTTGGAAAAAGCGAGAGTTAGTAATGATGACAACATTCATTCACATACATTCATTCTTTCATTCATACACTCACTCACTTCACTCACTCATTCATTCACTATCTACTGCGATCAAATCAATCTAAAAATTTCAAAAATGTCCCAGAAAATAGAAGGCAGGGTGTCCTCAGATGAGGATTTGAAGCTTACAGATACATTGAAATACTACATGAGAGACACCATGGCCGCTAAGAACCTTCTGTTTAGGAGGCTGAAGATGATCTCAAATCTGGACATCGCCACTAAAACTTTGGAAAAAACACGCGCTAAAAATAAACCTACTGATGCTGTCCGTTTTTTACTTTAGTTTTTTTTTTCATTTTTTACGTTTTGCTGGATTTTATGAAGCTGTCTTTATGGTGTTAATGATGACGAAAATAATTATAAAATAATAATAGTTATAAATATAATAATTATAATATTATGATGCGAGTGATTAATAATAATTTTTTGTAATGAAATGAAAATTGTTTGATTTTGTTTTCTTAGGCTGAAGAAGCTGAGAGAAATTTGTCAGAGAAAGTTGAAAAGATGAGCGTTACTGCCAAACAAGGTGATTGCGATTATGATGATGATGTGGTTATGATGATGATGTGGTTATGATGATGATTATATGGTTATGATGATGATGATAATGACGATAGTATAGTTGTGATAGTCGACAAATTTCCGTGCTTTGTTTATCACTGTACCTTTCATTTGTAGTTATATTTTCTTGAAAAGATTATCATAATTCATCATGAGTATCATAATCAGTATTGTTATGAAAATCATCATCACAATGTATCATCATGGCGATGTATCATATCGAACGATGCCATCATTATCACGGCACAGAGTTGGCCGACTTCAAAAGTAGAAGAATTGCACTATTCAAGAAGAACCTGATCGATCTTGCGGAGCTTGAACTGAAACATTCTAGGGTCAGTTAATATTAATTTTCATCATTCTCGTCGTTGTCATCATCGTTATCGTCATCATTAATTGTTCATTAAATTATGTGTTTTTGAGTTAATTTCGTTGATTTTGTTAGTTATTTTGTCGTTACCGTTTATGATGTTCTTTCTTTTAGGGGTTTGGCATTCATTTCGTTTATTCTTTGGTTTTAATTTTTAATTCTTTGATCTACAGGCCCAAGTAAATTTGTTGACAAGTGCAGTCAACTCAATGAAAGAGATTGAACCAGTTAATTAACTGTTTATTGATTCGTTGGTGAATTGGTTGATATTGATTGGTTAATTTATTAGATAATTGTATAATTTATTTATGATTCGTTAATTGATTGGCTTATGGATCGATACTTGGATAAATTCGTTTGTTCATTCATTTGTTTGATACGATACAATACAATACAATAAATATGTATATACATTTATGTGTGCTTATGTATGTATGATTTTGTCAGTATATATATATATATATATATATATATATATTTATTTATTTGCGAATTTTTGTAGTACATTTTTACTTTTTTCGATATGTTCGATCGAATAAATTTGTTTAACACTAACCAAATTTTTATATTTTCTTACTTGTTACATTTTTTAATGTAAAAATATCGAAATTTTTTTTTGCATGGGTGAACCAGTACGTACACTACGAATACCTGAATACAGATCTTGTTTATCAAGCGCTAAAACATTTTTCTGACTTACTTTTAAATTTTTAAACTTTTTGCGTTAGATTCAGTTTTCGTTTGTTTTGGTTCTTGGCTTGTTTAAGTTTAGAGATCGAACGTTTTTGATTTATTTAGTGTCATGTCTCTCGCAAATCCGTCTCAACTCCTGCCACTAGGTGAATTTATTATTTTTTTCACGTTTCCAACTTTATTTTTTCACTTCATCATGAAATTTAAATTCAGAATTAGTGGACAAGTGCATTGGGTCCAAAATTCACATAATTATGAAAAATGAAAAAGAAATTGTTGGAACTCTGCTTGGGTTTGATGATTTTGTCAGTATCCTTTTAGGTTTGAAACATGAATGTTTGTCAGTGTCTATTTTATTAGTGTAGGTAGGTGTCTGCAGCGAGTAATCAGGTTTTGTCACTTTTGTGACAAAATTTTATTTTCATTCATTTGTTCTTTGTTAAATTTTATAAACTTAAATATAGTTTAACTTTAAATGATAAGTTGAAATTAATTACTTGGTTAATGTTTTCTTGTTTTTCCATGATTGATATTATCCTTAGTGAAGTTAACTATTTATAAAATGATTTATAACCTTTATTTGGACTCCTTGTTATTAATTTAACTCTGGCCCATCCCATCTTGTAAATGCATAGATATGGTCCTAGAGGATGTTACAGAATTGTACGTTACTTTAGCATTAAACAATCTTTCATTTCAAATAACTAATTTGATGTTTTTAAATAATTTATTATTGAATTTAAATTTTTAACACATACATGCATATATTTAATTATATATAACAAACAAAAATTTCAGACATTTACTATCTTTCATTATTTTTAGTGAAACCACTCCAGAGGGCCGTCGAATAACTAAACTGGAACGAATTTTACTCAATGGGAATAACATAACCATGGTTATGATACTTTTTATTTACTTTTTTTAAATTATGGAGTAAAAAATTGATAAAGTTATTTACATGAAATTTAAAATAATTAGTTAATAAAATGATTTAATTTCATTAAAAAGTTGTTTTAACTATTTTTTCACAGTTGATTCCTGGCGGGGAAGGCCCTGATGCCTAGAAATTTTTTCTAAAAATAGCTTTTTATTTCACCCATCAAACTAGATACTATTATCATTTTTATTATTCATTTAGACTGAATTTAATTTTTTTCTCTCATCATCAATAAAATGACTTGACATTTAAAATGTAATTTTTTGCATTACTTTCTTTTCTGATAAATATCAAATGGTTTCACAATGATTAGTGTTGCATTAACTTTTTAATGGTACAAACAAAATGCTCTTAATGTATCAGTAGTGTCTTACAAAATTGACGCGGATTGTACATTTATATATACTACTAATCACAAAAACAATTGTTTTACGTCATAATTTAATTTATTCAAAACAAGAAAAATAAAATAGGATGACAGTCACTCACAGATGCAGATGACATCTAACATATATCAATATGATTAATATGAAAAAATAACGATAACAATCTATTATATGTTATGTTATATGGTCCTATATATTTGGTTCCAATTTTATCTAAATAAAATGCGAATTGCGACTTTGAGGAACCTTTGGCCTTATTGGAGACGTGCAAGTACGGTTCTGTGATAAATATTGAACTAAACACGACGCCATTTTAAAAATATTTGAAGTCGCTTTTTTTCAAATCATTTATTTTACGATTCCAACCGAGCCGCTGATTTGTAAGTTTTTGTTTAAGATTTTTTCTTGTTCATCGTTACTTGTTACAATCCCTGTTCTAAACTTAAATAAAAACGGTGAAAAAACGATGAAGTTAAGCTTTAATGTTTTGTTTACTAATTTTTAATTTAATTTATTTTAATTTTAATGATTTAGCAAAGGTAGGAATGGGTAGTTTCATGATTTGTGAGAAAGCTCATTTTTTAACGAATGTCCATAGCTGTGTCCGTTGGCGTTGTGATCTCTTTTTTAGCAACATTTTAAGTAAGATTTACAAAATGTTTTACAAAGATTTTTGAAGAATCTTATCAAAATTTAATGAATCCATTTGTTACACATTTCATCACTGCAGGCTTAAAAACTTGCCAACTCAATCAATGTCGATACAAATTTCGGGGTAGCAAACCCAGGCCTAGTATTTTGGAGAGGAGGGTGATGGAAGAGATCACAAAGCCATTCTACCCAGAACAACTTACTGAAGACTTGTCATTGACATGTTCCATCATCAAATACAGAAAACAGGAAACTTTTGGGAATAGGGCTCTCAGTATTAAAGTGGGGTGCTATATTTTTTTATGTTCAATTTTTAAATGGTTGTGTCGTGGTTTTGATTAATTAATTTGATTAAATAGTTTATTGATTTACAATTAATCATAGTTAATTGGTAACAAAATGTGTAATATTTTGTTTCACCATATTTTTATTGAATTATTTATTCATTTATATATTCAGTAAACTTATATATTGTTACTAATTATTAATAACATGTGTCTTGAATGTTTATTTGTTTTTATGAACTGTCATTTAATTTTTGTTGATTAATGTTTTGACCATGATCATTATTTAATATTAGTTATTAATTGCTTATTAGCTAGCAAATTTGTTGGAATTTATTAAATTATAGGCTTATATATATACATACATACATATATATACTAATTATATATATTATTTATATTAGTTATTTATATTCATTTATTGGAACTATATTTGTAACAGGACAACAAGTATGAACAGTTTTTAAAGAAAGAAGCCCATAAAATATTGTCAAACAGTTTTCTCGTTGCACTATGTCAGCTAGACAGCTTTGATATCAGACGACTGACCGTCATTAATAATTTATTTCTAGATAATTCCCTGCACCTTGTTGTATTTCCTGAAAATATCATGAGGTCTATATTTGACACATTATTTTTTGATTAGGCTTAATATTTTTTTTTGGTTATCTTGTTTTATTTTCTTTAAATGTCATAAAGTCTTTGTGTGTGTGTGTTTGAATTGTCACTACATATATCATTTGAATTTATTCTATAATTATTAATAATTAATTAATCTCGCCTCTAGAAAATGTTTGATGGAGACAAAATACAAAAACCTAAGTGACCTGATGACTTTACACACAGCTCTGATTGTTTCAACGGAGGATAACGTGCCCAAGATGATAAGAACATTCAAGAAATTACCCGACGTACACTTGCTAGGAGGAGCTGTCGGCGAAACACTGCTGACTAAACAAGGCATGATCAATTATGCAAACCTGCCATCTAGCGAACATCTGCTGGGGACACTAATTTCAAATATCAACTCGCCTATTAGGACCACATGCTCTTTATTGTCTAGCCATCAAAGACGTTTATCAAATCTCTTTTATAATATCCTGCAAACTAAATCTTAATAACTAAACGAATGAATGGATGGAGGCTAGATAGATAATGGATGTCAGATAGATAGATAGATGGATAGATAATTAGATAGACAGATGGATGGATTTCAGATAGTTAGATAGATCAATTACTCTTTGATGGATAGGATAGTTATAGAGGATTGTATTAACAATAAAACGTTTAGTAAATTGAAATTAATCTGTGCTTGTGTATTTTTTATTTAATAAATAAAAAATCGGCTATAAAGGTAAAAATCGCGTGCACACACACACAAACAAACTTACATGCACACGTGTATCACAATTTATAAAAGTCTGTTAAGGTTGTAAATAAAAATTAATTCAAAAACCGACCAAAAACACGCTTGAAAATTCGACGTTAACATTTTTTTGCAACAAATTCGTCAAAATTTGAATAGTTTTCTTATTGATCTTTAGTATTTAAATGAAAAATGTAAGGTGAATAAAAAATATGGTGGTACAAACTACTAATAATTACAATGATAATGGATAGACAGCTGGATGGATAGATGGATGAGTGGATAGATAGATGGATAAATGAATGAGTGGTTAGATGGATGGATAGATAGATGAGTGGATGACTGAATGGATGGATGGATAGATGGAAAAAATGAGAAATAAATTATAAAACGAATAATAAATGAAATAAATAACGAACGAATGAGAAAAGATAAAAACCCGGAATGTAATATTATTCATAGTCAGCCAATTTAGAGCAAACAAACAGAAGAATGAACCGCTAAAAGAATCAACGTCATGTGAAAACCTACAGGATTCAGCGTAACAACAGCAACAATTATAACAGTTATTATTATTTATTAATATTATGTTATTAATATTTATTTTACTTTAATTGTAAAGTTTATCAGTCAATATCAAACCTAGCCTGAAAAGTTTGCTATGAAATGTATAAATGATAAACACGCAACAGGGCATAACGTAGCAAAAATAACACCACCACCAACAACGGTAATAATAAAAATAATAATAACAACAATAACAGTAATAATAATAAAGCCAAAAGCATCAGCAGTATTCTTCTTTCATAATCAATGCTATCGTTACGTTAAGTTACATGAGACAAACGTCATCGAATATTATTATATTATCTTATATAACTTCATTACAAATATCTAAGCAGCCACACAAAACCATTTTGAATCGATACCAAAGATACTAATAATAATAAGAAAAAGAATAATAATCAGAAAATAATAAGAAGAATAATAAGAAGAAAATAATAGGTCTACCAATATCTGTTTTATAGATAGTAATTAACCACCTAAATTGCTATTAGTATAATAATTATTATTAATAGGCCATTAATAAATGTACATATATATATATATATATATATATATATATATAATATATATAATATATATATATATATATATATATACACACACATACACAACTATGTACACAGGCAAGCACATACACACAAGCAAACGAACAAGTATACACACATGTACGTAAGTGTGAGTGTTGTGTATTATTGTACATGTGTGTGTATATTGTATGTGTGTATATGTATGTAGGTATCGTTTTGTATATATGTATGTATGTGTGTATATGTATGTATGTATGTATATGTATGTATGCATGTGTTATGTATGCAGTAAGATATGAATCAAAAGTTGTTAGTGGTTAATATTTCCACTGATTGCAGCTCCATGCCCTGTCTGTGTTGCTCAATCTGTAATTATAATTGAATAATAATAACAATTAATATGATAATATTATTATTATTATTATTAATAAAATAATAAAAATACTAATGCTAAAAAATACTAATGGACTTCTTTAAAGAAAGAGTTAATCTGGTCATAGTAGCCAGGAAACCTCCAGCACTCATTGTGGGTCCCTGTTAGCAATAATAATAATAATAATAATAATCATAATAATAATAATAATATCAATAATAATAATAATAATATCAATAATAAAATAATAATAGTAGTATTAAGTTAACAGAAATATGGATATCGTATAACATGAAAACAGCTTGATTCATTTAATTGGAAACATTTTTATCCTTATTGCACTATAAAATAGAATTTGTATAATTATATAAATAATTATATTTTAAGTTATATCATAGTTATTTTAAAGATTATTATTACTAAGCTACATACCGTTAGGAACAAGAAACATTCGCTTCAGTAAGCTGCCAGACTTCTATGCATGGAAAAAGAGAAGTAATTAAATAAGAATAAATAAGTAAATATAAATATAAGATCAATCAATCAGTCAATCAATCAATCAGTCACTCCAACAAATACATTTATATAGCGCCCACTTTCAACAATCCACGAAATGTCCAGCGATGTTAGCCAAATGATGTGAAATTAAAAAAAATAAAACTGTAAGAAAAACATGCGCTAAAACATGCAACGTTACATTAGTGAAAGAATTTATGTAAATAATATTAAATAGATAAATAAATAATATAAATACATAATAAAAAATAGACCTCGAAAAGCTGCCTCATCATATCAGGAGGCACCAATTCATCTTTGAGGCCACATATGAATAGCGTCGGTACTTTTACATGCTGAATAGCTTCAACAGATGGAAACTAGAAAAATAATAATAAGAAGAATAAAAATAACAATAAGAAGAATAAAAATAATAATAAATAATAAAAAACAAAGCTAATGAGAATAATAATACCCAAAACAAACATTATTTTTAATCAGAAATGTCGGACAGTGATCGATGATTGATAATCCAGTCAACACCTTTCCCATATCTCTAATATTAGTGAAAGTATTTTCGACTATTAAACTGGCTGGTTGGACCCCTAAGTGTAGGGATGTGCTAGCAGCAGCGTTTATGGCGACAGCGCCGCCTAGAGATCGGCCAAAGATGATGATTTTGCTGTGGTTTAAATCCGATCGAGTCAGGATGTAGTCAACCGCTGTTTGAGCATCTATATAAAGGCCTGTGTGAAATAAATTTGTAATGTCTAAATGTGAAATTTGATTATAAAATAAAAAACTACCACTTAATATAGTTGAAATTATAATATAAAATAAAGTAACAATAATATGAAACACAATAAAAAATTATGAAACACAAAAACATCACAGTCTTACCACTTTCTGATGGGGTACCCTGGCTCAGCCCGTACCCCCGGTATTCTGGCATCAGTACATTAACCCCACAGTACAGGTACATGTGGTGTATGTTGTACAATCTGAAATAACAAAACTTATACTAACAACAATGATAATAGCAAAAAGAGGAATGGTAAGTAACCTGTGGCCAATATTTCCAGCATTGCCGTGCAAGAAAACAACAGTATAAGCATTGTGGGACTGTGGGGCTGGCTGTTTAATTAAATATGCGTGAAGTTCAAGGCCATCTGCAGTGTGAAGGTGAATGTTTTCGTAGGGAAGACCAAATCTACTTGGATTATCGACAAAGAGTCGAGACTCAGTTGGGACGTTAGGCTGGTAGAGCAGGCTGTCTTGGATGTGATAGAGGAAACCTGGAATGCATAATTTAGTGATACATAAATTGATTGATGGATGAAAAATGTTAGGCATTCCTGAACTAAATGCTCCTAAACTGTCATTTGAGAGTACCTTAAACTGAAAGCCAAAAATTATAAAAACCAAAAAATCTATAAAAGCCAGAAATGATAAAAATGTTTTACCAACCAAGAGCAGAGCAGAAAATGAGAACGATGAACACAAAGCTGCCGTAGATGATGTAGAGAGTGTAGAAGATTAACCCACAAGCTGAAAAGTAGAGCCATAAGTGATTCATCATGCAAAACAATTTCTGGGTCACACAGTCAAAATATGTGAGTCGATTTGACATAATTGTATAGACTCTCTTAAGTGAATTAACTACCATTACACCTTCACTAAACATTAAATAATTCAGTATTATATAGTTACTTCTTCGCTTATTATCGTTGTTGTTAATGATATTACTGTCAATGATTGTTGCTGTCGTTGTAGCATCAGTGTGATGTTGTTGTTGCGACTGCTGCTCTGGTTCTTCTGCCAAAGGTATGGCCATTAAATTATCAAACAATTTTTAATGGAAATCTTTGATGTGTTGACTGTTGTCATGAGGAAATGTAATACATATCTATTGGGAAAATTTTTAAAATGAATACTGCAAACTTGAAGATTAGCTAATCTCTGAAAATAATTATAGCAAAACACAACTTTGAAATTAATTTAAAAATTAGTTTCTTTGACTTAATGCCATTTTTAGCTCCTCCTACTTTCATGTGGTCACATAAATAAAATATAAAACTTTAAACTCAATAATTATAATATAATATTAATTACTATACTTACTAAACCTTATTCTTCAATTTAGTTAAAAATGACAAGTATTATAATAGTTAATATTATAACAATAGTCAGTATTATAACTGTTAACTCAGCCAAGCCTGGCTTTTAAACATTTAAATTTTAAAAATGTATTATAATTTATTATTAAAATAAAAAAGACTTCAAAACACAAAGAAAAGAGTAAGACCAAAGCATACTTTTAATTAGCAACATGAATGCAATCTAGCAGCCTGTCGTTAAATGAATGACACTTTTTAAAACTTTGATTTTCAATTTAAATAATTTGAATTAAAAAAAATTATGACAAACAATAACAAAGGATCAAATTCAGTCATAATCACACTCTCATCAATCCCAGCGATACTAACGCAAGGCTTCACATTGGTTTATCGTCCCATCCCATTTTTACCATTAAAAATAATTTCATTTAAGTATAAATAAAATACGATATTTTAGCGATTTAAATATAAACTGGTGAAAAATATTTCGGAAAATTTTGAACGAAAATTCAAAACACAAACAAAGCATTAACCGTGAAATATACCAAGAAACTACAAAACATAGATATGAAAACTCACATTCTAATTACTACTACTGTATATTACACATATTCTCATATATCCAGTTTTACTGTATTACTATATAAATATACATATATAGAACTAGATGTATATAATCGATATACATACAGGTATATGTTTATATATCTTATTATTATATGTCTATTACATCGAACAATCAGCTTGATGATTCATTTTACAAAACTCCCCTTGAGAATTATGATGATGAGAACATAAAGCAAAATCAGGCCTGAAATGTGGTTTTGTAGAGGATTGTGGCACAAGGAACGCTATCTTTATACTACGAATGATCAGTGAACGAGCGATTGAAATGAAGGAAGACTTGTTTGATAGACTACTCCAAAGAAAGGTAGAAGATCTACCGGGAATATCACAATACACGCGTTATTGGCTTGCTAACTGAAAAGAAAGAGAGAAAGACACGAACATGTAAAGCAAAGTAAACAGAACTCATGGAAAGTGATAAAACAAATGTTTTAGAAACGCACAAATATATTATTTTAACACCTTTCCTTGTTTTTAAACCAGTTCCATGTTTACTTTCCCTGCTGGGAATGGCTTTCTTTGTATGTTTCCTGTTACTGTACATCTAATAAATATGCCTCAGCTTGCATCATATAATTATAAAACTTCTTGGGTTTTAGTTAAGTTAAACTTTTGAGTTTTCTGTAAGTCTCTTCTGTGATGA